GAATTAAGAGATGTCGAAGAGGCATTACCAGAAATTAGGCCATCAGCTATGCGTGAGATATTCTTGGAAATGCCAAAGGTATATTGGTCGGATATTGGTGGACAGGAAGAATTAAAGCAGAAACTTACCGAAGTGGTACAATTACCATTGGAAGCTGCAGATACTTTTAATAAATTGGGTGTTCTGGCACCAAAAGGTGTTCTATTATATGGCCCTCCAGGCTGTTCTAAAACTCTTACAGCAAAGGCGTTAGCTACCGAATCTGGATTAAACTTTTTGGCCGTTAAAGGTCCAGAAATATTTAATAAGTATGTTGGTGAATCTGAGCGTACTATAAGAGAAATTTTTAGAAAAGCTAGAGCTGCATCTCCATCCATTATATTTTTCGATGAAATAGATGCAATTTCAGGTGATAGAGAATCATCTAGTACTTCCGCATCTCAAAACGTTTTAACTTCATTATTGAATGAAATTGATGGCGTCGAAGAATTGAAAGGCGTTGTTATAGTTGGAGCTACAAATAGACCTACAGAAATCGATCCTGCTTTGTTAAGACCTGGTAGATTAGATCGTCATATATATGTTTCCCCGCCAGATTACGATGCCCGTTTACAAATTTTAACAAAGGGATGTTCTAAATTTAATTTAGATGGCCATGAAGTCAACTTGGCTGCCTTAGCAGACTTAACAGATGGCTGTTCGGGAGCTGAAGTTGCATTATTGTGCCATGAAGCAGGGTTATCAGCCGTTATGGAAGATAAACAAGCTACATGTGTAGAACAGAGGCATTTTGATCATGCATTGAAGGGAATATCTAAAGGTATAACACAGGATATGTTAGATTATTACAAAGCCTTTTCTAGCAGGAGTGGATTAAGTATTTAATATATATATTAGATTTATAAATACAATAGCAAAGTAATAATTAAATATTTAAGTCTGTTTGCAACCTTCTTCTAGTCCTTTTTCAAGGTCTGGTGGTAAGTCCTTATCGTTAAAGTCTAACCCATTACCGCCAGGTGCACCACCTCCCATGTTACCGAATCCTGGGAAGTCACCTGAATCTCCAACAAGTTCAGTTGGCGGTTGTCCTAAATCTTGTAAAGATTCTAACAAACTATTTACTTTCTCTCTCTTCTCTTTGTCCTCATCATCGTAATCTGGTGCTTCGAAGATAGCCAAAATCTCTCCAGAAATTTCGTATTGCTTGGTATAATTCGCATGTTCTTCTTCGGAGATCTTACCCTTTTTCTCTTTCAAGTAATCAGGGAATTTCGAGTGAAGGTCTTTTATTGGCTCGCACAACACTTCTCTGGATGATAATTGTTCAAGCATATCAACCAATAACTTCGACATATCCAAATCCCCATCGCCCCCGGCACCTCCTGGACCTCCAAGTCCTGCAAGCAATTGTGTCAACATATCTTCTGGTTTACCACTAGATTGGTCGTTCTTTATTTGTTCGTCAATGGTATCGCCTGATTTCTTCAATCTTTCCATCGTTTCCTTCATAACGTTATCAAAATTTTGTGGTTGTGATGCAGAAGCTGCTTCTTCCTTATGATCCTCGTCAAATTGCTTAACCAATTGCTCAAATTGCACCTTGGTTTCTGGGTCTTCTATATTCAAATCCTTAACCAAATCTTCAATTCTAGTCTTAAATTCGTCATTAAGAGGCTCATCGGCTGAAGTCTTGACCTCTTCTTTTTCTTGAGTTTCAGTACCAATCGCCGATCCTGGTGGCTTATTCAAAACATCGTCAGCGAAATCATCTAATAAATCGTCCAAATCGTCCAAGTCATCTTCGTCGCCAGCATTAGTAGATGTGGGCACTGTCTGCTTGGCTTGACCTGTAGTCTGATCCTTTTTTTCCGTACTCTTCACGGTATCCTTATTTTCACTACTCAAAGACATCTCTGATATACTATCGACTGTGTTGCTTCTAAGAAAAGTGTTAATTTATGAGTAAAACAGTGTGTGTTCGCTTGCCTTTTCATACTCGGTTCAGAGATTTCACATGTGGGGGAATTTGCCTATAAAATTAAATGACCCGTCTAGAAATGGCAGATGATTCATAGAGCCATCCGTTAGTTTCTAAACAGAAAATTATGATAAATATTCTCCTTATTGGTCTTTTAAACGTCAGCAGCTTCTGTCGTATTGATTTTTGTTCTTTTCATGGAAACAGTATGGCGTATACCTAACAGTTCAATCTTCGAGCCGTAACCATACATCCGATGCTTATGAAAAATTCAAGCAGAACCAAAAGTAATTTTTAACAGAACGATGGATCTTCAATGTGTCTCCATGGCTCTGTCTCTATCCTGTAATGAAGTGACACACAGTATTTTGCATTCATCGGAATCAGTGTATAGTACGTTTATGGTTTATGTAGCGGTCGTGTGCGACCGGGCAATATAAATAACAAGACGTAATTTTTCACCACTAATTACAACACCGATAACGATATAGTATCATAGATATTGACTGAATCACTAACATGTCGCTTTGTAAAACTCGTTTGCAAGAGGAAAGAAAGCAGTGGAGAAAGGACCATCCGTTTGGGTTCTATGCGAAGCCTTCGAAGGCAGCTGACGGGTCGTTGGACTTGACACAATGGACCGCTGGAATACCAGGTAGATCAAACACTTTATGGCAGGGAGCTACATATCCAATAACTATATCATTTCCAGAAGAATATCCTTCGAAACCACCTAAGATTAAGTTTCCTACTGGATTTTACCACCCAAATGTGTACCCAAGTGGCACGATATGCCTATCTATCTTGAACGAAGAACAGGACTGGAGACCGGCGATCACTATCAAGCAAATCGTGATGGGTATCCAGGAATTATTGGATAGTCCAAACCCAGACTCTCCTGCACAAGAGCCGGCTTGGAAAGCATTTAGTAAGGACCTTGCTACATATGAAAAGAAAGTTAAAGAACAGGCCAAGCGATACGCAACTGCGTCATAAAGCTTACGATAAATTAAGTCAAATACGTCACCCAGCTTATAAACGGCGTAGATGATGTTGTATTCTACGATCAATTTTGACATTGTAATTTTAATAATATATAAGACATATCTGTAATCAGTCCTTTCGAACTTGCAGCAGGGATTGTGAATAAAATAAACGTTAAATATAATGAATATGTAGAAATGAACAAAAAATATAACATGATACGACGGGTATCCCGTTTACAATGAAGGTCTTATGCTTTATTGCTGTATACTGTTTCGAACGCATTCACTGTCTTTGATGAGATCTCTGCTCTTAATGGTAGAACCGGTCGCTAGTTCGCCTAACTGCGATGTTCCTTTCTCTTTGTAGGTACTCACTGCTGGAATATCTGCCTTGATTCTACTAACTAATGTTTGGTATGCTCCTGGTTCTATCTTAATTAACGTATGCAAAGGAATCGACATCCATGGGGATTCTTCTTGAGGGACATTCATGAAGTACGCATATAAGCATCTCAAAACTGCCTGGTGAGTAATAATCAAAATGTTTTCTTGTCTTTCTAATTCCATAATAATTGGTTCCAACCTGATTACGATATCACGGTACGATTCACCACCTCTGTAACGATATTCGTACTTATTGTCATCTCTTGCCTTGAAATCCTCCGGAAACTTTTGTTCGATTTCTTCATAAGTCATACCATCACACTCACCGGCATCTAATTCATCCAAAGCCTTCCATTGTAACTTTTTCTTGTATGGCAAGAACGATGCCGTTTGTTGTGTTCTTTGTAAAGTTGAAGTCCAAACAGTAAGATTAGTATGCTTGTTCTCTTCTCCAAAAGATTTGAGAACTAATTCGGGTAACTTCTTAGCATAACGCCGTCCTCTCTCAGAAAGATTTGCATCACCACCGATTTGCCCAGTCAAATTAAATTCAGATTCACCATGTCTTGAAAGCCAAATACACCTGGGCTTAATATGCAAGTTCATAACGTAATAAACAATACGACTTTCCAAATAACTCTCAATCTTATTGAGAATCACTTGCGAATTGACGTTCACTAACTTGATAAAAGTGAGATCACTGTCTGTATCCCTGTCCATCGTTTCATATATATCCTCATAATACTTGATTCTCTGCAAAAAATCCTTAGTTGCATAGTCTTCATCCTTATTCACGTAATCGGTAGATGTGGTCTTGACATCAGCAATATTCTGCAACACCAAATCCTTATCATCACACCAACTCTCCAAAAACATTGGTTCTATGTAGTTTTCACGGCAAAGTTTCAAAATCTTGTCCCTTCTGGCTTTTGTTGAGTTAGTTGCGTCCAAAATACCAACAACCCCGTTGTCCTCGGTGAACCAATTCATCATGTCCTTCATAGCCGAATTCAACGCCTCCTCTCTGTATTTCAACCCTTTCTCATTGTGTGGATCAAAAAATTCTGCTGTTGTACTTTCGCATGGCACGAGCTTCCGCCTATATGTTCCAACATTGAAGCATTTAGATTTGATCGAGAGCCACGAAAGATATCTCACGATCTTCTGAGCAATTAATGATTTTCCCCGGGCTGGCAATCCAACCATAACCACACAGACTCTAACATTTTCAACATGTGAAATTGAATATACCGGCATCCTTAATTCTGTATCAAAACTTCAATTTATCAAATAGATCAAATTATAACCACCAAATTTTATTAATCTCTTTAAACGTGGAGATAATCTTTAATAACCGTATTCTCTTGACGTCAACACTTATTTGCTAAATGTTTCTTGTTTTCTTTACTAGTTAATCTGATTCGATATTAATCATCAGTTTTAATCTACTGTTTGATGCAATTCAATAAATAATTTGTTGGTAGAAAGAGAAATTGAAGATTAATCTTCAACAGTATGAAAAATCAGTGACAAACTATGAAATGTCGTGTGATGTCGTTAACACAAAACATCACGAAATTCAGTATTAGACCGTAATTAAGCACAAAGTCTTTATCATAGATAGCCCAATATACGTGAAAACTATAATTATGCCTATGAAAAACTTCTTAAATAGGACAAAGAAGTCTGACAATAAAGAAAGAGACCCGGCGGATGCTGAAGATAGAGCGTTTTTAGACATGCAACCGGTTACCTCGTCCACTATGAGTACATCAACAGAGGAATCACAGGACTCTATTCATCGGTTGCGACCAATGTTCAGCTCACCATTAGCGAAAGCAGAAGACGAAAACAAACATAATAGCCAGAAGTTTAATTTCACGCATGATACAAATTTGAATTCGAATCCGTCAATCCTGAATACGAACCTGGCACCTTCGGTGATGACCAAGGACTCAGAAAACATGGTAAATTCCATGTATTCGGAAAGTAAGAAGACTTACTCGACTAAACAGTCGTCATACTTGACCCAAAATAGTCAGAAGAAGACAGGGGCTTCTGCGGCTAGAAATTTCGAATATGGGCAACCGTTACAAATTTTGAATATTGCTGAAGAATCGAGAGAAAACCGGGATATTAAGGGCTCAGTTATTGATAAGGTTCATGAGTTATACGAGGATCTCTTGTTTTTTATGAATCAGTACAACAACTCGTCGATCAATTTGTCTACGACTGCGATCAACACTATAGATTGCTTTAAGAAGTTTGTTTCCTTTGCTGAAAGCTTTGATTCTGACTCTGAATCTTGGGACATTACAACTTTCAATAATGGGGATATGAGAAGGATCATGAAAATTTATTTACACTTCTACGATAATCTATTGGCAAGTGACGTTTACATAAAGTTGAAGTTGTTGTTAGTTAAGAACTTCAATGATTTTGCCACGACACTTAAAAGTAGGAATAAGCCGGTGAATAATTCAATGCAAAACATGGTAAAGCCCCAAAATTATGCTATTGGTATTAACCCTGATAAATCATTACCCAATGAAGACTTGATAGAGAAAATTATGAAGAAAATTGCTTCTACATCCATCTCAGTAAAGGAGCAAAATGGATCGTTTATTGCACCAATTGCCCGTGGAATAAGTAATGATTTAAATATTCTTTGCTTGTATTTTGGATATCCAAATCCAACGGACGTGCACTCAAAATTAATTCAAAGTTTGCATGGTTTATATGACGATATACATGTGGTCGTTATGAAAAATCAGATAGAATTAGCGTCCGTTATGGCGGAATCCGCAAATATTCCATTTTCAAATTATAAAGCATCAGAATCGGTACTCCCTTCAACACAAGTGGAGAATGTTGTCCGTAAATTCAAATTGCCATTCCGTAACCCTACTGATAGTTCACGTCCACCAATCTCACTTTCATTATCAGTCGAGAATGCATCAAGGCTTTCAGGTACTATGGGTGGTTATATTTATCCTCAAATTGACTTGGAGAAACAGCCACACTTAGAATCCTACACAAACTCGAAATTTGCTATTTCCTGCGGACATGTTTGTCTTGATAATAACGATGAAGACGTAAACTATCCCCATGTGTCGGCACCACTGGCAGTATTAATCTCCTTGTACAAGAAAGCTTTATGGAGCCAATATCAAAAGTTTTCCCAACAAGGCAATGATGTTTCTACGATGGAAGAAAGGATTGCATATGGTTCAGTGTTGAAAAATTTGGATAAAATGTTCCCATTGAAGAAAGTCAAAGTGCCATATTCCAGTAAAAGAGAAGGACATGAGATCAGAAATTTACCAGAGCATAGGTTTGGTCAAATCATTTGGGGTGAAAGAACATTAATAAATCTGAAAGGAAGTGATAAGGAAAGTCAAGATGTAGAAAATAAATTATCGGATTTAGCAATAATCAAAGTTAATAAAAATTTGAAATGTGACCAGAACTTCTTGGGAGATGATATTGCATTCAACGAATATGACCCTGCATTAATGTTTGATAATCTTTATGTCAGGAAAGTGGTTAACCTTAAGAGAGAGTCTGAAGATCTAAATATAAACGAAGTAGACTCAGTTGCATCAGCTAATTCAAATTATAGTGGATTGCCAATTTTTAAATATGGATCGACAACAAAATTCACAAGAGGAAATTTAAATGGAATTAAGTTGGTATATTGGTTAGATGGCGCAATACATTCCTCTGAATTTGTAATAAATTCGGTAGAAAGTAATACTGCTTTTGCCGCTGGCGGTGACAGTGGTTCATGGATCTTAACGAAATTGGAGGATTGCACGTCTGAATCGAATTCAAAGGGTCTCGGTGTGGTTGGGATGTTGCATTCGTATGACGGTGAGCACAGGCAATTTGGTTTATTCACACCTATGTGTGAGATTTTGGAAAGGCTTGAAACGGTTACAAATATTAAATGGGGTGTTGTTGGGGTGCCACAAAAGGATGAGCGTATCTCTGGCCATGAAGTTGATTCAGGACTGTCCGCTAGCGACAGTGATAGTGATAATTCTGATTCAGTTGATGATACTGAGTATGAGAGCGGAGCAGAAGAATTGGAAGATGCATGCCCACCCGAAATCGATTGATATTACGTATAGAGAATATTAACAAATGAAACGACTTTTGATGGATTTAAGTGTAGGAAATTTTCTAGTTATTGTGATATAAATTCTGTTTATTGAATTGCGACCTATTAAAGAATATATAAAGTTACACTGAAAAAGAAAGAAGTAAGCAATGAAGTATCGATATAAGTAACGAAGAACTATTGACGAATTTAAAATATAATTTACCAAAAGATTTATGGTTTTCTATAACCTTCGAAATAATGCAATACCAAGGGTATTAAAATCAAAATCAGAATAAGACTGCAGCAATTGCCATTATTCCTGCAAGTGCACCGGCTATATTCTTTGGCGCAGAACCTTCAGAAACTGTAGGAACAGAAGGAACTGAAGATGGTCCTGGGGTAGTGGTTGGTTCTTGAGTTTTAGTACATTCATGGCACGTTTCGGTTGTGTAAGTTGTAGGCACGAGACATGAGCCGGTAACAGTCAAGGTGGTGGCCTCAGGAACTGTCACAGTGTGTGGGAGACAAACGTTACTACGGCATGTAGTGACGGTCACAGTGGTTGGATATGGACAGAAGGTAACAAAATCAGTGACAGTAGCAGATCCGGTAACGGTTGTGGTGGTGTTAGGATAGAATGTGGATGGTGGATTTGGTGTTGGGAAGGTTGAAACGGAAAGTGTTGGAAGTGTAGCATTGACGGTGATTGAAACCGATGGTACAGTACCTGAACTAGTTGGATCATCGAGGGTGATGGTGCCAGTAGGAGGTGCTGGGTCATCAAGACTAATAGTTCCTCCTGGAAGTTCACTAGTAGGGTCATCAAGAGTAATAGTGCCAGTTGGAGGAATTGGGTCATCGAGGGTAATGGTTCCAGATACATCTGGTGTCCCTGGGGTAGGCTCTCCGGGTGCTACTGAATCAGCTGGTGCGGCACTTGTGGCTGCTGCTAATGCAACGATAGATAAAATGGTAGAAATTCTCATATTGGTAAATAACAAAGCGATTGTAATATTACTTTAATAATAATCGTAATTCTATAGACCCCGATCTAGACAGATTTGGACCTCTTTATATACAAAAGTATGTTGCAAACCATAATTATGTATTTTGGTGGAGATAAGAGTCATCTCTAAATTTAGAATTATTATTAACAGTATAGTCTAAATATAGCTTTGCATATATACTATTAACATCCGTACAACGATTTCGGTACAATCGTATATGATAGAACCCTTATTTACATTCTTATCTAATCAAATGAACTTACGGTGACAATTGTTTTATCTAGGTCGCATATTTACGGAGAGTATAAAGATCTCTACTACAACTGCAAGGGGTTTACTATATCCATATCTTCCTTCGGTTTATAAATATTTTAGTACATTATCTATTATTTCAACGTGTATCTGTTAAGCGTGTGTTAGTTCTCCACGTTCCATTGTCTATTATTAGTGTAGATCTACCATTAGGCGAGATAAATGTAAATAGAGATTTCAGAACGAGGTACTGGCAATATAGTTTTGTTCGCTTATAGATGTATTTAGAAGCTGTATTGTCGATTTACATATTATTAAAGCCGGTATGGCGATAGTCGTAATCTTTGAAAGTCATTTATTTTCAGGGTCCAACGCGAGTATCTATTATTAGAAATTAATTTGTTGTGATACGCATGCTATTTAAACATGGGGTCAATACTTTAAATCGGCCGTTCTTGGCAAACAAATTATGTATACGTACGGCAACACCCGATAATCTATGGGTGACAAGTGTTGTCATATAGTATGATGTGATTGTGACGGTGGCAGTGTTTGTAGAAGAAGTTTTATTGGGTTTGCATTTTTTGCATCTACAACAGTAAGGAAGTTACAAAGTACCTGCATGTATAGAAACAGCTATAGAAACATAAACAGGATAAAATAATTATTAATCCCTTTCGGATTGTTTGTATTGGATAAACCTGCCCAAGGTGGTCCATGTCTCTTCGGCTCTCATTTTCAAATGAGGATATCTATTTTTATCAATCTTTTTGTACATCAGCTTAATGGATGGTTCTAATGCCTGCAATTTCTCGTTGTAGTTGTTTTTGACGTAGATTTCGTAGTCATATGAGTATGACATATCTCCGAAAATCTGGTAAATCAAGTTCAAACATTCGATTGGAATTTCATTGGCCTTTGGCTCATCGGTTTGATTAGTGGCAAATAACTCAGTGCTCGATAACAAGAATTGAGAAATATGGCTGGTAACTTCAGTATTATCTATGACAGGTGCCACACTACCTAAGAAACCCACTGCGCACAAGAAGAATTCTAAGCTTGTCGCATTGTCTTCAGTAGGATCCTGCTTGGTTAAGTCATGGCAACGTGAGATTAAGCTTTCGATCATAGAATAGTTTACCTTGGATTTAATTTCGCCTCCTAGGGTTTTGGCTATTCCCCAGCATATGTTTAAGCAATCTTTCTGTATCAATAAATTATCTTTGCTGGATGATATATTAACAATTAAATCCCACAACTGTAATGCGTCACCGTACCATTCGACTGGTATATTCTCACTGGATAAGAATAACCAGCACATGTTGTTCAAACTAACAATTATTTTGTCTAGTAATTCTAATACTTCTTTGTTTTGCATTTCGAATTTTAATAATTCGATCAAAGATGGATACGCCAAATTTAATATAACTTGGATTAAATCTGTAGATAAAGTAACCGGATCTTGTGGGTTCACTTCATTGAATGCAATATACTCCCAGATTGATGTAATTAAATCGATTGCGATTTCTAATGTTTGAACATCCACCTTGGCTTGGGCAGTTTCCGGAGTATCTCCCCCAATCTGTTGGTCGATATCTTTTATCTCTTCGGGTGCCTTCTTCTGAATAGGCTCTTTTGCATTATCGATAACCGAAAGATTCTTTTTCAAACTGTCCAAGTTAATTGTGGTAATACATGAGATCAAGTTATTCAATATTTCTGTGCTGGCTGCGTCCTTGTTATCGGCCTGATTCAATGCCTCATATAAATGGAATTTAATCCCTTCAATGTATACTTTACCTAATGTATTCTTAGATTGGGCTGGTGATGCCAAGTATTCAATTAGTCTATGTAAATCGAATTGGGAGTTTTCATGTAAGTTTTGAACAAACTCGGTAGATTCTGAGGCAAATTCGTAAATAAAATCTAATAATGAATTGAATAACTTAACCGTTGTCTTCATTGCTGGGATGTTCCAGTTAATAAGGTCAACAACTAGCTTTAAAACTGGAGCTATCTTTTGAAAAACATTGTCGTATAAATCTTCTGAACCACTTGCAATAACTACAATAAGGGATAAAATATTTTCAGTAAAATCAAATAATAATTGCTCCTTTGACTTATCACTTGTTTTCTTTCCTTTGGCTTTCTTTTCATCATCTGCTGTAGCTGCCAACGGTAAAGATTTTGATTCTTCCAAAAATTTAAACGATGTTTCAATCTTTTTTAAAGCTGCCTCAATTGCGGTCCATATATTGGATCTCCAGTAAAACTTGGTCACTTCGTATCCTTCTTCAATTCCTATGTTTCTTAATAAACCAAACGACTCAACTACAATTTCGTCATTAGAATCATTTAAACATTGTTCCATTATAATCAGAACTAACTTTTCTTTCAATAATAATTTCCTCATTCTTTCATCTTCACATAAAACTGTAATTGCACCCAATGCCATTGTTTTATCATTTGGAACTGACGATTTTAAGTTGTTGATTAATGGTAAAATCTTTGAATTACGAGTGTTTTCATCCTTAATTTCTTGTTTATCAAGATTTTTCTTACTATTATTAGCAATAGGATTCACTCTTGCTTTTTGGTTCTTTCTTCCTCTCTTGAGTTTACCCATATTATGTACACAGTTGTAAACGTAGCCGTTGTAGGGTTTAGATTACTGAGTTTAAAAAAAATATTGTGATGAGCAGTCTACCAATATTCACGTGATTATGATTGATTCAGCTACTGGTTATAGAATAATAAAATAAAAGCTTGAATTACCTATATACCTATATGAATGTCCTTTTATCATTCATTGGATATCTTCGTTTGATACCCATATATCTATTTACTGCTATCTATAGTTTCTTGCTTCTCTTTATTGAAATCCTTAATTAATTCCTCTTTTCCGATTGATGGGTCGTTAGGATGTAACGTTGTTTTAACCTTTTCTTTCAAATCGCTCCATGATTTAGGCTGGTCCGATGTATCACGAATGTAAACGTCGTCTCTCAAATTGCCGTCTTGTTGTAAACGGTCGCTATGTATCTGTTAGTAAAAGCACTTCTAAACAGGCTGATAATAAATTTTACTTACATTATCAAAGGTTGCCAAAACTTCACGCCGGTGTACCAACTCAATCCAGCCACTAAGCAGATTGTAAGAGCTTTACCACCTGCACTAGACATCGCTTTTATATACTGCTTCTTCTTAAGAGTGTAGAATGTAGTATTATTCTACTAAATTTCCAGTCGCAATAGTGTTTGATTAATATACACACCTCCCCATAGACCATAGTATAATCATATACTAATTATTCAAAAACAATTTATAATCGTTTGTGTTGAACGTAAAGTCAGTATATATTATCCTCTGGGCTCCATGCACTTATGCTGAGTTTTATATTGTAAGAGATATGATTATATTGACTTCAATTGTTTTGTAGATTTTTAATCATTTTGTAAGATTTTTGTAAAACTTAAAAGATTGTAAAACATAATTGAATTATACTTGAATAATAAAAGAGATAACATAAGACTAGTAACAATTTCTATTCTATCATAATCCAATTAACTTAGAATTAAAAATGGAAGGTATACAATTAGAATACCCATAAGACTTTAAGTCTTGTTCCACTAATAAACTTGACCAAGAAAATTAACAACTTTTTAACCAAGAAAATACATGGAAAAGATAAAACTTAGACTCAATATAAACGGAAACAGATACAAGGTTATAAGCATCATTTACAATATGCTACAGGTCAAATGACTCCGCTGTAGTAAGTATATAGTCTAATCAAACAAAATAGCTGCGAAATTAGGATTCCCTAAGTACACATCAATCCGGGTAATACCAAAAGCAGTTCATCTATAAAAGAAGGAAATTCTTGCAAAATTTATGGGTTTTAAATCTTTTCCTTAATCAAAAAGCTTATTAAAGCAAGGGAAAATTTGCCACGGCGAGATAATGTATATTGTCAAGTTATACTCGTTGCCATTTATTTATATAAATTTCATTTCCCGAGATAAGAATCATCCCTATAGGAAGTTTGGAATCCGTTGGGTCTTTTAAGTGAGGCGATGGATTCTGAATGTCGAAAAATGGGATACATAATTCAGTAGTTCATGTAGTTATAGTCGTAGTAAGAATGTAATGTCACCTGTTTACTTGAGTAAGTTCAATTAGTGCAATGTTCGTTACGAAGTAACCTTAAATTTATCAAGGCCCAAATAGAAGCCTCTATTAGATGAAGATCGTGTCTCCTGTCCATTTAACAAGCTAGTACCTACCACTCTTTACAATGAGCAATAGCACCTAGTACCCTTTACAATGTGGAATAGTACCTGGCACCCTTTACAATATAAGCTACAGAAATGAGTATAAAGCAGTTATAATATATATTAAGCCTGATCGGCCTATTTTAAGCAACCCATCAATTAATTATACATAGAAAATAACATTTAGAATTTTAACAAAATCAAAAATTTAATCATATAAGCCTGAATGCAGATTTCCTCAATAATGTAACTTAACGGAATTTGTTGAAACCAATGTCAGAGGCTCTTTCTCTGAAACATTGACGACAGATGTTTAAATCGTATTTTCTAATTAAACCGGAGTGGGAGGAACAGACACGACATTGTCTTGAACCTTTACCAAAGTTTCTTGGGTGGGAAAACCAAACAGATTCGTGAGCCATTATGCTAAAATTAGTTAGTATTTTGTTCATATCGTCATGTTATCCACGAGAGTATCGTTCAATTTATGCCTTGAATATTCTTGTGCATTTCCATCCAAACTGACACCGTCCTCTATTCATACATATTGGGCCTAACGTATTCTCTGCTTTCTGCATCCTTATCCGTCATTGTATTGTTCTGATGATTCCTTTAGCCAAAATCCAAACAATCAGATTGCCGTATCAACATCAGATCTTCAATATTACATATCCTCAAACACAATACATCTATTCCACATTCATATATCAATTTCCAGGCCTATTTTCCAACCCTTTTCAAAATTTTTCAAAATTTTTCATCTCCATGTCAAATCTACAATCTTCATGACTGGTCATCAATTCAATCCTCGACATTATTAAACAAACTACTCTCATTCACGATTCTATGCTGTATTTGTACATACTATTTTGTAATATAGACTTTTTGGATATGTATTATTTCCTTCTAATTACTTAGTTAAATTTTATCACTATCAACACTCTGAGTGAGTGAGATTGGGACCATATTGCGCGTTGAGAAAGCACGACTGAAAAATTTTCTTATATTACACAAAACAATTAACAGTCACATATACCACGAGCTCATTAGGTTACACACCTAAGAGATATCATATGATACTATGTTCCATCAAAAAAGATAATTTTGAGGGCATCGCTTCATCTAAGCTAGAGATCAAGGTACAGATACGGTAATTGACGAGACTAATAGAAGATATGGCTAAAGGAGGTCATTCGCATAGGTCCACATTGAAAAATGACCATAAGCCTTTCAAATCAAAGCATGCCAGTAAGGGACAGTTGAAAAATCAGTACAAAGGAAAGGTTGAAAAAACCGTTGGAGGTAATGGCAAGGCCAATAAGGTAATGTCGAAGACCGAAAGAAAGAATTCAGCCAGACAAATGAAGGAAAATAAGATCCATGAAACTAAGATTATACGAAAATTGTTCGATGGGTCGCAGGGAGCAGAAAAGATTGTTACTGTGATTTCGTTGACAAAGGACATTTCAACGCAGGACATAGTGTCGAGATTGGTCAACAATGTAAAGGAAGAGAGCGACGAGGGATTTGTGGTCGGATTACCATCCGTTTCTTCGGTCAGAATCAACAGATTCAAGACCAATTTGAAGTTCATCGTGCCGGATCAGAACAATTTGCTCAGTATATTGGATGCAGCCAAGATTTCTGATTACGTTGTTTTTGGTATTTCTGCCAACGAGGAGGTGGATAAGGAGTATGGAGAACAGATTTTGAGAGCGCTTATCGCACAAGGTATTGCGTCCGTGATAGGTGTTTTGCCTAACGTTGTTTCTGCGTATCCAAAGAAGAATTTGCAATTGGATATCAGAAGATCGTTATTTTCATTTTTCACCCATTTCTTCCCAAATGAAGAAAAGTTATATGCATTGGAATACGACACAGAGTGTTTGAACTGTATTCGTACAATTTGCCAGAAGTTTCCTAAATCTGTCACTTGGAGAGATTCTAGACCGTATTTGTTGGCTGATAAGACATCATGGATGGCTTCTGAGAATGATGCGTCTATGGGCCACATAGTAGTTGAGGGGACGGTTCGTGGTGTTGGTTTCAATGCCAATAGATTAGTGCACATTCCTGGTTTTGGTGATTTCCAAGTTGACCGTATAGAGAAATTATCCAAATCTCGTATCAACAAAAGGAGCGAGATGGACATTGATACCGAAGAGAATGATGTATTCCTTCCAAACGAAAACAGGGAAACTTTAGAAGAGTTAAACCCGGAAGAAATTGATATGGAAGGTGAAGAATCGGATGACGAAAATGACTTTGGTGTTAGAATGGAGGGAAAGCATTACTTTGAAGACGGAACTGATGGTGGATATTCTAGTAGTTCCAAGTTACCAAGAGGTACTTCGGAATATCAAGGTAGGTGGTTGTTAGACGATGTATTAGAAAATGCCTCAGATTTAGAGAGTGAGGATGAGGACATCGATGTTGATATCGAACAAAATAACGATGATGAAATGCAGATGGAAGATACTCAGTCGGAATATGCTCCTACGGAGGCTGGTGATACCCAATCAGAGATGTTTGTAGACTTATCTCCAGAAGAAGAAGAAAGACAATTACAAGAATTCAGGGAGTCTGTAAAGGAAGATCTTGAATTCCCTGATGAACTTGAATTAGATCCATCGGAATCCGCCAAAGAAAGGTTAGCTTCATATAGAGGTATTAAGTCATTAGGTAACTGCGACTGGGATTATGATGAAGAAGATGTTGAAGCCCCAAGCATATGGAAGAGATTATTAAGAATTTCTAACTTCAAGGCTACAAGAAATAAGGTTTGCAAAGATGCAGTAAAGGATGTTCAACTTAATATCGGTAACAAGGCCAGAATATTTATCAAAGCACCATCTTATGTTATGGAAAAAGTTAATTGTGAACAGCAACCGTTTGTTGTTTATGGATTATTGGAACATGAACATAAGTTAGCAGTGGTTAATTTCTCATTCGAGTCATGGGAAGACTATGATGAACCAATTCCAAACAAGGACACTTTGATTGTTCAATACGGACCAAGAAGACAAGTCATTCAGCCATTGTTCAATCAAGGATCTAATAATGCTAACAACGTTCACAAATCCGAAAACTATGCGCATCAAAGTAAGCTTTCTATTGCTACATGTATCGCACCAGTATTATTTAGCAATGCGCCGGTAATCTTTTTCAGACAAGCTACTGATGGCTCTCTTGAATTAGTTGGCCAAGGAACTTTCCTTAATTGCGACCATACAAGAATTGTTGCTGAAAGAGCAGTTCTTACGGGTCATCCTGTCAAGATCCATAAAAAAGTTGTTACTATTCGTTACATGTTTTTCAACCCTGAAGATATTAATTGGTTCAAAGCTATTCCATTATTTACAAAGATGGGTAGAAGTGGTTTTATCAAAGAAAGTTTAGGTACTCATGGTTACTTTAAGGCTACATTTGACGGTAAATTGAATGCACAGGATACCATTGCTATGAGCATGTATAAAAGAGTCTGGCCTGAGATTTCTACTGGATGGACTAATTAAATATTTGTAGATTTAATTAAATCTTATAAATAAGTGTATAATACTAATAAAATGTTCTATAGTAATTAATTAGTAATGAGTAATTATGAGGAATTTGTTTCGTGCGACTATAAGTAGCGAGCTTATCTGTATTTCTTAGCATTTTTTATTAGAGAAGAATTATTAGAACTTATTTAAATTATTTAAATTATGACTTCGTTTATGCCTCATGGGTCTAACCCACTAACATCGTCATTTACGTGTAATACATGTGATATCAGATTTGTTACTGCTGATCTACAAAGACAGCATATGAAGACTGACTGGCACAGATATAATTTAAAGAGAAGAGTTGCGCAATTGCCTTCTATATCGTCCGAAATGTTTGCAGAAAAGGTGCTTTCACAGCAAAACCAATCAGATGAAGAGGATGAATTCGGTTTCCATATAAATCACCGAAAATCGAATAAGGGTTCCAAGCAACTAACTAAGAAATTTTTGAAAAAGCAAGCTAAATTCAATGAGTTAAGAAAGGCTAGAGAAGAGGACGAAGAGTCTCACGTTAGAGCTGTAAGCCCAGCTTCAATATCTTCTGAATTCTCGCAGTTTTCTCTTGGTGACTCGGAGCATTTGTCCGTTAATAATGATACTGATACAGGATCGGAACTCAACTACACAGATACTTCGGAATTCACTGATTTGGACATCACAGCTGATGATGAAGAGTATAGCGACTCCGATATGGAATCCAACGAGGAGTTGGACGTTACTCCAATAACTCACTGCTTCTTCTGTGGGGTGAACAATAAAGAAATCGAAACCAATGTCAAACACATGTTTAACAGCCATGGTTTATACATACCTGAAAGATCCTTCTTGGTGGACTTGGAAGGGTTACTTGCATTTTTGAGTGAAATATTTACAGCAGATCTTGAATGTTTAGTATGTGGGTTTCTAGGGAAGAACTTAGAGAGTATTAGACAGCATCTACGTAGCAAGGGCCACTGCAGAATTCCATACGAATCCAAAGAAGAGAAAGCAATTATAGCAGAATTCTACGACTTCAATGTAGACGAAGGCAATACCAAATCCAAGACCAACAAAAAGGTCACATTTACAGAATCGACTGATAGCGATGACGGCGTATTGGTCGATGTCCCTTCGTCATCGTCGGATCTCGATGATTCACACGCCAATATGAACGACAATTACTCTGTGGTGCATGTTGATAAATCCGGGGTTGAATTAACCTTACCTACTGGTTCGAGAATTGGACATAGGTCCATGACAAGATACTATCGCCAAAACATCGCATTGCCAAGAGATATAGCCGAATCCGAGAAGACGGTAGCTGTTGTTGACAGACGGTTCGCCCCTGGATTATCGTACCACGATGTCTCTAAACAAGAGAAGGAAACTAGGAGACTTGCTCAACATTCTAAGAACGATTACATTAGAAAGAGCAAGTCTTATAGAATGAATTACCAACCTCATTACAGAGATGAACTCTTACAATGATTCATTCATTCATGCCGTAACGCTCATTTTCCGCCATTTTTTTTTACAGAGTTGGGTATGAAATTCAACTACATGCTCTAGTATATTTGTATATATGAATAGTACGCACATATACTGTAAGTTTCAAGGATAAAGTAGTCATGTTGTTACCAAAAACTGTCATGAAAGCAGTTATATAATCGTGCATCGATGGAACATTAAAAGGCTCATTGAAAAATGATCACAAAAATAAAATAGAAGCTTATCGAAGTTCGAATATATTCTGAATGTATTTATCGAATATGGGCTCAAAAATCATTAGCTAGTCAACTGTAGACAATTTGAATAGATTAGAAATCATTTAAGTGTAATTATAATAGTATTATACAACCGCAAACAGCATTTTAGATCAAATATTCTTTTGGACTACCAAACAAAAACTAATTCAAACGTTTAAAGGTAGTGAGAACTTACAATAAGACAAGAAGACAATAATAATCATCGAATCGACTAGTACATGGATAATTTTTAGTTAGATATGGTATTGGAAACGCATTTATATGATATTTTGCTAGTTTCACCAGATGCTAGTAACGAGGAAATATCGAGGAGCTACAGAAAAGTTGCCCTTAAATGTCATCCAGATAAAACCAATCATGATCCTGAATTAACAGAACAGTTCAAAGAGGTAACAAGGGCATACGAAATACTAAAGAACGAAAAAGCAAGGGATGTTTACAACCATTACGGAGAGGCAGGCCTTAACGGAACGTGCGAGACTAAGACGGGGAATAGTGGAGTGAAGAAGTACAACGATTCGTACAATGTGCGTACAGCTACTGATATATTTTCGAATGTTTTCAGCGACATAAATTCGATGTTCAATAGAGATCCATTTGGCGGTGGCTTTGAATCGTTTCTGTCGTTTCCAATGAATATGAATATGAATATGAACATGAATATGAATCCGAACATGAACATGAATTTCAACATGGGCTCGTCTCGAAGTGATTTCAAAAAACATGTTCAGCCTGCTCCCAACGGCAACAAGAGCAAAATGGTTAGGGGTCACGATATACACCACATATGTAAAGTTGGACTCGAAGACCTTTACGTAGGAAAGATCGTAAAATTCCAACTCCCCAAAAATAGTAGATGTTCTACATGTATTGGGTTAGGTGGTATGAATCCTAAGTCTTGTCGTCTTTGTCAAGGTAACGGACAGGTTTTCGAAACACTTTACAATCAGTTTTCCCAATTCCAGGAGTTACGCCTGTGTAAAGAATGCAATGGAACTGGTATTTATATAGCACCAAAAGATAGGTGCTTTGAATGTGACAATGGATATGTAAAGGAAAAGAAAATCATAAAAATTAATATCTTGCCGGGATTCAAAAACGGCGATAAAGTAATTTTGCAAGGAGAAGGAGATGAAGGTAGGAATATAATTCCCGGAGATGTAGTTATACATTTAGAAGAAACTCCTCATCCATATTTAACAAGGAGATTTAATGATCTTTACATGGATTACGACATTGACTTGAGAACAGCATTATTAGGCGGCCCTATTATATTGAATGATTTTTTGAAGAAAGGTCAAGACTTAAAGATAAATATAAATGTTCATGGAAATGAAGATTTAAATAAAGGCACAGGTGATAATATTCAGGAAGGGGAGATTGTTGGTACAATAAATTCGGGAATCCCAAAAATTGTCAAGAATCTTGGTATGCCAATAAATGATTTAGATATAAAAGGCATATTTTACCAAAGTACGGAAGATATAGATGAGACATGTGATATGTTTGATTTGAAAGAATACGGAAAAGGTGATCTTTTCATTCGATTCAATGTTATAATGCCTACAGTCTCCGATTTTAAAGACGATAAATCATTATTTACCCTTGCAAGCATTCTACCCACCACTATACCTCAAGTTTCTAAAACAGGGCCTGAAAAAACTTTAGAAGCACATTTATCGAATATACCAAATTTCAATGGTGATTCTCATTCTGGTCAAAATGCTACAGTAAACGCAGTATATTCTTCAGGATCATCTGAGGATAGTTTGGATGATAAGCATGGTCGTAAGAAATTCAAGAAATCCAATTACGGTAATTACACTGTTGATGACCTTTCGAATTCTGAATACGATTACGATGATATCAATGTAGAAGATGACAACGTTGATGGTAACGAAAGCGAAGAAGAACAATTTTATGCGAATGAATGGAGTAAAGAGAAGAAGGATCGTGGGAAGAAGAGAAAAAAGGATGATAACTTAATGGATGATTCTAATAGTATGCATGATTCTGGCATTCAATGCTAAATGCTTATGTATTGGCAACTATCATTATGACTTTATCATAATGCGAGCATGATATTATCTGTAGATTTGATATATGAAAGAGATAATATTTCAATGATTATATACATAAATAGACATTTATATTACGAACAAATCTCCTAGATTATATTAATACGGTTAGTATTGTAGTATTTATTGAACCCAAATTATATACACGCTGATAAATTCTACGCGGGATCAAATATGAACTTTGTAGATTAAGAGCCATACTATATTAAATATACCAAGTGTGATAGCCAATTGCAAAATGGAGGAAGGAAATGTGTTGGATTCATCAATTATAAAGGATTTATCCAATAATATATACGAGAAGCGTAAAGCTACTTCATTTCAGATTGAAAGCTTAACTAAATCGGCTCTAGCAAGAAATGACAGTCAAATTATTTTTAAAATAATTACAGAGTTAACAGAGTTAACTAACGATGGTACAAATTCAGCAAAGATGGGAGCCATCACAGCATTAGGTAGTGTATCGGTTGCTCTTGGTTCTTTTGCTATAGCGTATTTTTTGGAAGAGATTATTAAACCTATATTCGCTACATTCCGAGATACAGATGCTCGTGTTAGGTATTATGCCTGTGAATCTTTATATAACATAGCAAAAATTGCAAGGGGGGAGATATTGCTATACTTTAATGAGGTTTTTGATATCTTATGTATCTTGGTGACTGATACCGAATCATCTGTCAAGAATGCTGCAGATATTTTAGATAGACTAATTAAGGATATCGTAAGTGCAAAGTCTACGAATTACGTTTCCATTTTGCATCAGGATAATATAATGGAGCTGGGACAATCGAACGATATTTCCTCGCATATTGTTGATTCTACAGGGGTTGCAATACAAGTTAATCAGGTTCAAGATACACATAAAGCTTTTTCTTTACCAAAGTTTATTCCTACTTTATTAGAACGGATGTATACAATTGATCCGTTTGCGAAGAAGTTTTTGATCAGTTGGTTAGAATTATTCGATGATATTCCAGCATTGGAATTAATTACATTTCTTCCTAATTTCTTAGAACCATTAATTAAATTCTTGATGAATACCGCTCCTTCAGATGTTAGAATTGAGACTCAAAATCTTTTGAATGTATTTTTAAAGGAAATTAAAGCCATAAACAGGGTGAAAATAGAAGCAAAAAGAAAAGCTTTAGAAAAGGAAATTGCTAGAAAGAAGGCGGATAAGAAGTTGAAGGACACTCAAGAGAATACCAATGACTCGATTTCGGTCGATGATCAGAGTCACCATGAATCATCTGGAATTCAAAGAGAAGGCGCACAAGAAGATACTCAGGATGAGAATAAGGATGACTCGTATACTACAGATCAAGCTTCTATTCAGTCAAACAGTACCACTATAATTAGACAACGCAAGGATGATGAAGAATCTGAACATCCACAAGATTTAAACGAGTTATCAGATTTGTCCGATGGTCAATTTCTTAGCGGCCAAGATATTTTTATTGACTATTCGAAAATTATAGACATTTTGTTATCATTTTTGAGATTTCCATTGTCGCACAGTAGTAATAAAAATGATTATAAAATAAATGATATAAGTAATGAAAGTCATGAAATATACTTGGAAGTCCAATTCACAGTACTCAAATGGCTACAGGAAGTCTTATTGATTTCTCCTACAAGCATTGCTAAATTTCTACCAGACTGTGTCTCAATAAACATGAAAAATATTTCCATAGCAGATGATAATAATGATTCTGACTTGAGAAATCAATTTTTAAAGTTTAACTTATCCTTACAGAACTTTTTAGTGAACTTAAACGAAAGCGGATCGAAGGATGAAGTGAGGGAAAAGAAAATACCAAAAAAAGATGAAAAGAAGAAGGATGACAAAAGGAAACTGGAATCTAAAGAGATTACTGATTATAAAAAGAAAAAGGATGAAAGCACAGAAGCAGAAGATACTGATTCAGAAGACGATAATATTGATGAAAATCTCATTAACGGTTTAAACAAGGATGTCTATGATGAATTTTTTGAGGCTTATTTGGGCCCCACTTTGAAATCTATTATGACAGAATGCTTGACTTGTGTGAACGAGTTATCTAGGATTACACTGTTAGATTGGTTAATTTTCTTATACTCGCTAAACCCTTCTAGTTTCTTTAAGCCATCATTTAAGGGTAGTGATGATAAAGATGACAAAAATTTTGACATGTCTGCATTATTGCACTCCTCTATAGATGCAAGCAATGAAGTAGTTTTAAAGGTGTTACAATTATTATCAAAGATATCTGAGACAGATCAAGAATTTTTCAGGAATTTCATGATTGAATTAATGCGATTCTTTGAAGATGAAGTACAAGAATCTGCCACAGATAAGCAAAGTCAGATACACGGTCCAACAGCATCACCATTGACGAGATCAAAAATTGAATTTATTATTCGAAAACTATGTGTTACGTTAACGTCTGAGAAAATATTCAAAACGTTATCAGAAGTAGTTGTGTCACACGAGGAACAAAACTTGGATTTCATAAATATGATGATAGTAATGTTGAACAATATTCTCTTAACAACCCAAGAATTAGCAGGCTTCCGTAAAAAGTTGAAAAACATTGATGTGTATAAGGTCGATGATTGGCTGCTTTTTGCTACATTATTCCAAAGTTGGTGTCATAATGCCCCT